CTCAATGGCAGTAGGTTTGTTTTTTGGGGTTTTATATTATATTATAAATGAGGGAGGCTAAAGGGGTGTAAAGGGAGGCAAGATTTCTGTATCTTACTCAAACTGGTTAAATTAAATTAGGAGTGAGTTACACACTATGGGAATTCAGAGAGGGACTCATGACACCAGTTCTTCCAGCCAAGCCCAGGGGTCAATTTAAATAAGGGCAGCTCACAGGCAACATACCCATCCTGTAGGAGGCCAGGCTGGAGGAGGTGCTGACTTTAAGGTTCCAGGCTGCCTGCTAGCAGGTATGAGCAGCACCTTCCTATCAGGACTGCTCATCCCACTGAATGAAACCTGTCTCTTAACATCTCTGGAGTTTTAACTTCCTCACTTTTTAAAATTGCTAGGAGTTCAACTCTGTAATCTCAAAGGGTCATTTTCAGTCTAAAAGTTCATTATTCTTTTACATCTACAGAATTATCCGTGTCCTAGAAAATGAGTCACCATGAAAATCCAGCATCAAGCTCTTTTTCAAAATTGTTTATCAGATTCTAGAAACCAATATGGTATAACTGGAACATACAGGGTATAGACAAGTGTCTACTAAAACTTGGAAATAAGACTGTCCCCTGAGAGTTAAAATATAATTTAACTCTAATACGTAAATACGTAAAACTCCTTAAACACCAGATCTCCTCTGCCATACCCAACAGGAAGGTGGTGGGGTGCCATACTACCACCCATTAAAGGTTTAAGTCCAGGTTGGTTTGTGATCTTACACCCTGCCAGGAGGGGAGTGGCTTCTTGCCTGTTGGGGATGAATGCCCCAGTTGGCACTCTTTGACACCACATTGGTATATACATTGGTGTGTGTGTGTGTGTGTGTGTGTGTGTGTGTGTGTATATATATATATATACACTCACTGCCATTGAGTTGATTCTGACTCATAGCAACCCCTGTTGGGTTTCTGAGGCAGTAAATACGTAAAACTCCTTAAAGAGAAATAATAGCTTCTAGACTTCTAGTAAAATAAGACTAATAAATCTAATGAGAACCTACTGAGACTTATCCTATCTGAAAATTTTTAAATTAGAAGTTTCCCATGTTAAATAAACGTATATTGAATTCAACACATACGTATAAAGCATAGGTAATAGGGGTACAAAAGCAGGCTCCTCGAAAAAGTCCTACTCCCTGACCCTGAAGTAGTTATGACCTAGTAAAAAGACACAAAAACAAGTTATTTCATTGTAATACGGTAAATGGTATGCACAAGGTGCTTATGGAAACACAGAGGAAGAACAACTAATCCAAACAATGTAAGTGGAAGGTTTCCTTGAAGAGTAATTAACTGAATTAATTAGACAATCAGTAAGAAGAAGTCAACTGAAGAAAGAATCTCCCAACTGGGGAGGAGGGGTCAGCATGACAAAAGATACCAAGGGCTGACAAAATCATGGTCTGTGTAAGGAACTGCAACTCTATCATTTCAACAGAAGCAAAAAGCAGGCGGTAGTGACGGCAGGTAAGATGCTGGACAAGGAGGTCATGTAATAATATTCACTGCCGTTGAATCGATTTTGATGCACTGCAACCCCTCCCTGGGTTTCCGAGGCAGGATCACTACGGAAGTAGATTGCCCAACCTTCCTTCTGAGGAGTGCTGGTGGGTTTGAACTGCCAACCTTCTCTTTAGCAGTCAAATGCCTTAGGCATTAAGCCACCAGAGCTCCCCATATGACAATAGAGGGCTTTAAATGGGCAACAATGTTGTTCGTAGATGCCATCTAATCAATTCTGACTCACAGCGACCCTATGCACAACAGAATGAAACACTGCTTGGTGCCATTCCCAAAATTCTTGCTATGCTTGAATCCATCACTGCAGGAATGGTGTCAATCCATCTCATTGACAGTCTTCCCCTTTCTCTCTGACCCTCCAACAGTAGGACAGAAAAAGTAAAAATCAGCAGTGCATAATTTGCTGGTGCTATCATTCTCAATTGTTCACTCACGGATGTTCAATTTTATGATTTACTGTTAAAACAACGCCACAGAGATTGTGTTCTGAGTGAAGTCAGGACTTCAGCTGCTTGGAAACGTGGACCCAAAGCTGATCACTTTGCTAAGGTTGACAGACAGATTCAGGAAGCAGTGAGATGTTACTACAGAACACATGAAGGAAAAAAGAAAAGGACCCTCGACTAATTTCTTAATAGACTATTTCTAGACAATCTGCTGATAGGTATTTAAATTATTTCTAATCTTTTGCTATTATACTTTCTACAAATATTTTTACATGTTATTTCACACATGATGGATTTTTTTTTTTCTGTACTGTAAATTCACAGAAGTCAAATTGCTGGGTCAAAGAATATGTAGTATTTTTTAGACAGATATTCCTAAATTGCCTTCCAGAGGGTTGAATACCAAATAACACTTTCACAAAAATAAACTGTATATTTAAAAGCCAGTTTCTGGACAAATCTTTTTTTAAAAACTGCACCCTGGAAAATCACTTTTTACAAAAACTGTGTTTTGAATACTTTTGCCACTTAACAAAAACCATTTTCCATATATTAAGTTTTATAAGAGATATGTTTTATGAACCTAGAGGTCTGAGGCAATTCTGTGAGGAAAATAAAGGTTCACAAATATTCATTATAAGTACTAAATTATTTCTGTTTGCATCAAATTTCAAGGAAGACAAAATCCTCCTGATACTCTGGATACAAAGTCCACCTGTAGCAGGGATGCTGAACCTCTTCATTTTTAGGTAATCTTGCCACTAGTATTTACAACATGTGATGTTCTTTTCAAGGAATTCAGGGATCTTGTATTTACACATTTCATACTGGAGCAAAGGAGATCTGGTGGTGCAATGATTACAGCATTCTGCTACTAACCAAAAGGTCAGTAGTTTAAACTCATCAGCTGTTGGAAGGAGAAAGATGAGGCAGTCTGCGTCCATAAAGACTTATAGCCTTGAGAACCCTACAGGGGCAGATCTACATTGTCCTATAGAGTTGCCATGAGTCAGAATTAACTGGGCATCAGTGGATTTTTTTTCCTCTACTGGAGCAAAGGAGCCCTGATGGCATAGTGGTTAAAACACTCAGCCGCTAACCAAAAGGTCAGTGAATCAAACCCGCCAGCCACTTCACAGGAGAAAGATGTGGCAGTCTGCCTTTGTAAAGATTTACAGCTTTGGAAAAACTATGGGGCAGTTCTACTCTGTCCTATAGAGTCACTATGAGTTGGAATTGACTCAGTGGCAGAAGGGTTTTTTTTTTTTTTAAGATACTGGAGTAAAAACATCAAAAGAAAAAGGCTATATCAAGGAATAAGAGAAAATCATGAAAACTAGTAATAATGGAGACAAGCATTCATTTGGGAATGTTTAAAAAATTTGAGAACCTACCATATGTTTCGATTTCAAAATAACTTTAGGTGGAAACAACAACAACAAAATAAGTAAATAAAATAAAGGAAAAAGGTAGAATATTGTTGTTGTTATGTGCCGTTGAGTCGGACCCGACTCATAGTGACCCCTCCCTTGGGTTACCGAGGCAGTATCTCTATGGAAGTAGATTGCCCAACCTTCCTTCCGAGGAGTGGCTGGTGGGTTTGAACTGCCAGCCTTCTGGTTAGCAGTCAAGTGCCTTAGGCACTATGCTACCAGAGCTCCTAGGTAGAATATTAAGCCTGGAAAATAGAAATGAGAAAAGAAAACATAAAAAACAAGAATGGTGTGTGTGTGTGTCTGTGTGTGTGCACGCACACGTGTGCACACATCTTAAAAATCCATGTTTCCTGGAGAAATCAGTTATCAAAGTCACAGCAATTCTGCCAACGCCAGAAAGCTGAAAGGTAGGGAGAAATTATCCTTCCCACAGAGGCACAAGCACTGACCTGTAAAAGTTGTGTTGCAGTAGCTCTCTGCTCAGGGTTCTTCACCAGGCACTTTTTAACAAAATCGGTGAAATCATCGGACCAAAGTTCTGGCTTCCTGAATGTTGGTGGTGGGTTTGTGGGAATCATAAAAATAGCCTAGTAAAAATGAAATATCCAAAAGGCACAGTAAAAATCGCAATAGCACAACCAAATAAACAAATCTCTTTATCTATCTTTTTATCAGACTCTAAATCTGAAAAACAAATTTAAGCTTTTCTAGGATTTCCAGTAAGATTACAATTCAGGAAGCAAATCCATCTGCTACTAATGTAATCATTTCCCATCAAATTTCCTCTATTTGAATTGCAGCTCATTGAGCACATCATTCTTTGTTTTATCTATTATTTTTTATCAGTCTCCAGAGAAGACTTGGCATTTCTGACCCTTCTACCAAACTAGGGACATTTTGAGTTAAGCAGATATAGCCCCAAATTTTTCTAATGCAAGTCAGATTTACTTCCCAATCAAATTTTATATAAGCACTGCTGCTCAAAACAGCTAGTAGCAGCCCAACTTGTCTCTGCAATCCAGAATATTTAAGTATGGGTAAAATAACTGCTGTAATTTGGAATAGTACCTGACAGAGGTAAGACTTGTATTTCTCTTTCTCAATATATGAGTCGGGATTCCAAACAAAAAGGTTTAAGGTAATATACCACTTTATTTTTCTAAAAGATAGCACATTCAGAGAGTTTGAAATTCAAGTCATCCAATTATCAACCAAGAAAATTAATCCCCAGTGTCCTTAGGAAACCATTGTATGTAATACACAAACTTTTCTCCTGGGCATCTAGAAGACTTTCTGATAAAGTACTGTTATTAAAACATCAATTTTCACTGAAAAGATATGAGATATATGAAAAAAAGAGTAAATTGACTCAAATGTATGAGGCACTCAATACATACTAGCTATTATCATTTTCATTTCTACATTCTGTTATTACTAGGGTGGGGAAGACCAGAGGCAAACACAAAAATGACAAAAAAAATTTGAAGTAAAATTAATTAGACCATATTGTGACTAACTGTTGTTTAACAGGTAAGTTTATATAATTACACAATCAACACAGTATGTAAGATAAGGAAATAAATGGCCTATACAGTAATATAAACATGGGCTTTTCAAAGATGTATGCAGGAATTCAAAAATGACTTATAGCATCCGGAAAAACTCCCTTTCTAGGCTCCAATATTCTCACGCTTTTCAGAAGAGATGTGTCTGACTCTGTTCTTTTCCACTCTTTCATCACCTGGCTTTTGATGGTCCTCATCTCATTTGCAAACTAATGTAATAAATAAAAACTTATGCATAAAGAAGATAAAGATGGTAATACTATAAACTATAATAATAATCCTTAGAAACTAAGCTTTTTACCATTGAAATAGACTAATCAAAAATATTTTTAAAATGTGTTTATATGTAGAGAAAATACCAAAACTTAAGACAAAATAATGAAGATAATACATTCTGGGGGTACCAACTGTAATATATTTGATATGAACTGTTCCAGCCTCCATTGGACCTTATTAACTGTGGTAGTTCAGTTTGGGTGTCAACTTGGCTGGGCCTGGTTGAGTGGCTGGGCAGCTGGATGTAGTATTCCCCATGATGAAACCGGCAATCAACTCCATGGTGGAATCTACTGTGAGCAGCTGAGTAGCTGCCTTAGGGAATATGGTCTGCTTCCTGTATATCCTTATATACAAGAAGCCTTGGGAATGGTCTCTAGTTTATGGCACGCTTGGAACCTGCATGTAGCTGTGTCGTTGTTCATCAGCCTGCCATGCTCTGCTGACTGTGGGACTTTCAATGGACTTGAGTTAACCGCCTGCCGTGTGGTTTGGTAACATCAGGACTGTGCCTTTTCACTTGTCAATCTTGGGCTTGTCAGCCTCAGCAGCCAGCAACTGAGTGGAAAAAAAGCCTCCAGCTTCAGTGAGCCAGAGCAGGAGGGAAAGCTGAAGCCCAAGGTTGAGGGGCTTTCACCCAGCCCCTAGAGCCTGGGACTTTGAACTCAGACTTAACGCCTTCAAACTGTAAGAGAATAATCTCCTTTTTCTTCAGGCTATCTCATTTGTGGTATACTCCTGACAGAGCAGGAGCTCTGGTAGCATAGTGCCTAAGGCACTGGACTGCTAACCAGAAAGCTGGCGGTTCAAACCTACCAGCCACTCCTCGGAAGAAAGGTTGGGCAATCTACTTCTGTAGTGATACTGCCTCAGAAACCCAAGGAGGGGTCACTGTGAGTCAGGGCCAACTAGATGGCAAATAACAACAACAACAACAACTTGACAGAGCAGTACTATGTAATCAGAACATTAACTATTCAAAAGGAAGAAGGACTGACCAAATGCTCCTTAGAAAACGAAACTGGCCAGACTTCATCTCTTGTACTTTGGTCATGTTGTCAGGAGGGACCAATCCCTAGAAAAGGATATCAATGCCTGGTAAAGCAGAGGCTCAGTGAAAAAGAGGAAGATACTCAATGAGACGGACTGACAAAGTGGCTGCAACTATGGCTCAAACACAGCAAGGACTGTGAGGACAGTGCAGGACTGGGCACTGTTGTTGTACACAGCCTCCCTATGAGTCACAGCCAATTTGAAAGCACCTAACAACAACTCAAGAGGTCTGGTGGCGTAGTGCCTAAGGCACTTGACTGCTAACCAGAAGGCTGGCAGTTCAAACCCTCCAGTCACTCCTCAAAAGGAAGGTTAAGCAATCCACTTCCCTAGTGATACTGCCTCAGAAATGCAAGGAGGGGTCACTATGAGTCGGATCCGACTCAATGGTAGTGAGTTTGGATTTTTTTTTTTTTTAACAACAATTCAAAAGCTATTCACAAGGATCTCAGAATCACAGAATGTCCATAGTAAAAGGTATAAGACAGACATTTAGCCCAGTTCTCTCATTTTACAGAAAAGAGATCCAAAGCCCAGAGATGTTAAGGAACTTAAAAACAAAATTTCAGACCTGCAAAAAGGCTTTCATTTAAAAGGTTAGCAAAGTATTCCAGTGATTCTACTTGTTTAAAGAAGCAAGAAGGTGAAGTTTTCAAAGCAAAGAGAGTTACTAAATCTAAACAAATAAACCCATTAACAAAAGGATAACGAGATGATAAATGACAACCTTGCTTTCTACACACACTTCTGCTCAATTCCTGCTTTTATTTCTTAAGTGGGGAAGAAAGCAGAAGCAAGTTTTAAGCTTTTCCAATCAGGCTGAGACAGGAAAGACTTCAAAACTTACTACAGTGACAAATGTGATAGTTGATAAAACTAAGGATTATTCAGTCAAACATGAATGAAAGTAAAATAAAGAATATCAAGTTCAAAAAGATTTATTGAGAGTCTGCTATGCACAGAGCATAGCGTTAGGCATTATACAAAAAACTCACTGCCACTGAGTCGGATCCGACTCATAGCAACCCCTCCTTGGGTTTCCGAGGCAGTATCATTACAGAAGTAGATTGCCCAGCTTCCTTCACTGGCAAACAGTGGAGTGCCAAACAATGAACTTCTGTCTGCAAATAGCCCGCTTAGGCTCAGGCAGTTTCACAGATGAGGCAGGACCTGACATGGCTATAAAGATGGGTAAAGTGAAGTTAACAAGAGCTGCTGGAAAAAGCACACAAAACCACCTACTACATCAAATTAAAGACGAAAAATAAATTTGAACTCTCATTTCTGCAAAACAGTTCAAAGCATTCACATAAGCCTCTCTATATAGACTGACCTCAAACTGCAGGTAAATGATACAAGATTGTCTAGATAAGTGTTGTTCATCTGCACTTCTGTTACAAATTGATGGGTAACAACTCAGTAATTTATGTCCTTGAAGCTAATGCTCTCCTTTGAACTTTGAGCCAATGACTTGCAGTCTTATCTTCAGATAATCTTAACATATAAGGCTCACCTCAGCAGTAGCTATTAGAAACCCAAGGATATAAAGCTTAACTCTAACTCCTATTTACCCAGCACCATCATAAACTGAACCTAAAATATTATTCTCAAACAAGCATTGAACTGTAGTATACAGTTCAAGGATCTACCAAAATGTAGGGAATCTAAACTCTCCAGCAAAACCACCATACCATTTATTTCCATTTTGCAGACTAGATAATCAATAACAAACTAACTGATTTTCTCACAGAATTTATTTTGTTCAACTAGTTGAACAGCCTAGTCATGAATCATGGAGGATCTTCTTAAGAATCTCCAGGTTTTTTGCGTGAGCTGATTAGGTAACAGGACTCTGATGCAGAAAGTTTTGGCAATCAGTGGCTAGCCTTAGACTAACAATTCACTCCTTTCCTTGCCACCAACCAAATCACATGGACGCACATTACAGCCATATAACTTATCTTATCTCAAACACCATTTTGATTGAAGAATGTTAGTACAATAAAGGATATGATTATCCTTGTGTTTGTTTCTACATAGTGTGTTGCTTAACTACACATTGGACCTTTGATTAAGTTTTTAAAAGAACTTCCCTGATTACAAGTAGTCTTAAGAAGCCAAGGAATGTAAGTGCCTCAAAACAACTATCTTCATGCCCGGAATTTCATGCCTTCATGCCTTCGACTCCAGGAACACCCAGATCCAGAAAGAACTGTGCTGAGGAACTAAATGCTTTAACTTTATAATCTCAGTGGAGTGAGTCAACACGTATGTCCGAAGCTCAGGTAGCTGGATTTGTGAATGTACAGAAGCAGTGGGCATGCCAGAATAACAAAGAAATCTGTGCCACTACTCAGGTACATGAGCAAAAGGTTATCTTCATAACAAATAAAAGATAAAAGATGAGAAAGCACTTTATAAAACTGCAAAGTACTAAACAAACATAGCTGTTTCCTGACAGCAAATGTAACATATGAGAAGCAAGCCACTAAATAAAATTTAAAAATATTTTTTAATAAAAAGAAATATAGTAATAATCATAATAATTTTTAAAAATCCACCACAAATAAGATAGCAAATAATACAATGGATGAAACATATACTGGACCAAGAGTCAAAAAAACGGCTTCACTCAGTTCAGGGCTTTGAACTGGTTCAAGATAGTTTAGTCATGGCAGAAAAGTAGAAAAGAT